GCGCGCTCTCTCTCTACCTCTCTCTCTCTCACACACACACACACACACACACACACACAGTCATTGACGCGTGTTGTCGTCAGAGCGCTTCAGTCCGCAGCAGCAGTTGATTTCTCCAGATCTGCTGCCTGCCTCATCACAATATATGCGGTCGTTTATGGCTCAGCTTGATTTTTACGCACCAACGGTATTACCTGTGTTAACATACGCTTTGTGACTTTGAGATCTAGAAGCTAAAGAAACAAATCCCAACTGTATGTACTCAGAAGAACCCGAAATGCACCAACATGTCTTTATAGCGAATAATGGCCTCTAGTGGAAGCACTTATAAACACCCATTTGTCCTTACACGCTGCTTTCATGTGAATTCTCCAACGTCCTGCCTCGACACTCTAACATAAGAGGATGTCCAACCCTGAGAAATGACGCCCCCATTCCCCCCCTGAACAGTGGGAAAACACACTACAGCAGTCCGGAGCAGAGCAGCTGCGCCAGAGTGCGGCGCAGCCGGGGAGGAGATACGCGAACGCCGCCGCTCTCAGTGCCGTTCTCCGGCTCCTCTCGAGACGAGCCGTCTTCGCCTCCTGGCTTCATTTGTCAACATTGTACTTGGAGGAGAGGACGGGGCGCGTCTACATATTGGACGTAGATACTACAGTGCGCGTAAAACACGGCATTCTATAGGGTCTTATAGACTTGACGCGCTTTGATGTCATCCGGCGGTTCAGGGTCGGATCGTTTCATTTATAACAGTGGGTCGACATTAAACTAGACGCATATCATATCAAGAGTTATTACTCGCTTGCGGTCAGACATGGAAGATGGTCCGCCTTCCACAAGCTGTTTCCGAAGGTTTACGGACTGTTTCCTTGGCTCAAGTAGGTATACTTATTATTTCTCCTGCGTACTAGTAACTAAGGGTGTCGCAAAATGTAACGGTTTTTTGTTGAGCACTTGCACTGCGTTGCGGCTGCATACTGGCCAACTTTTGAATCTATTTTCAAACGTGAAGTTTGGCTGGCAATATTTGCGCAACGGCTGCGTGTGAATGATTGTTTATATAATTGTCTCTCATCACCTGTTATGTGTGTTGATATCAAGTTTTAGTGCAGTAGCTGGGTGGGGATATACATGTGAGACAGGGTGATGTTTCATTATTTGAATTAAGTGTGGAAATGAATTGTTTTTGTGATTTCCTCTTTTAAAATGCACGGATTAGTACTATTATTACTATTTTTTACTGGCATGTAACTTAGTGTCATATGCATACATGCATAAGCATGCATTTATTTATTGAAGAATTGCAGAGACTAAACAGTGGACCTGTTTGTAAAAGAAAGAAAAAAATCCCCCGCTAATTAATTTAGTCCTTGATTAGGCTACCAATCAGCGGCAGAGTTGCATTATTAACCCTGTTGTTGTACATCTACATTTACTAATAGTGTTAATACATCACATAGTGAGCAGATGTTTTCTGTACATACAGTAATTTAATATGTAGTAGAAATCACATGCAGGATCTTTAAAATGTTTTCATGGATGAAGCAAGACTTGTTGGGTGTTACATGTGGTTTTAGTCTCAGTGTCTACTGTCTACAAATACACATTTTGAGATATATGAGCTGCAATAATAATATATGCATTATGTTGAAATGAGTAACTTATTTCAGCGATTTGTTGCTTTGTTGTTACTATACTCATAAATTCACTACAAGTATATTAATTGCTTATTTTATATATGATGATAAAATTTCATGTGGCATTTTGCCTATTTGCTGGAGGAAGAAAAACAGTCAAATACACATATTTTAGCTACCGTGCAAGACAACGCTTGTTTGAGTGTTCATCATAATGCAAGTCTACACAAATGACAATTATTAATTTATTTAGAAAGAAACTATATTTAGTAGCGAACAGGCAGAAGCAAAACTGTTTATTTTCACATGCATACTGTTCATAATGGTAAGCAGTAAACTACATTTAGACACTACAACTAACCTAGTGCATTGAAAAAACTATGTCAGTCACGAAAAAGAAGTCCCACAAAAGTCCCAAGCAGATAGGAAATGATCACAATGTAAAAATGATAAATGGCGAAAGGCCACACTTAATCAGCACTCTCTCCTGCACACTTTGATCTGATGCCACAGTAAGCTATCAGAATGAGATTGTTTAGATCACACTTGTTAGAGACTTTGTATTTTTTCAGAGCTTCACATGCAGAGGAATTATTGGATGTTGTCCTCAGTGCATAGCAGCTCAAAGTGTGCGTGAGGGACAATAGTGTCGAGATTGTTTCGGTGACCTCCTCTGATTGATATCATGGCAGAATTAGCATTGGACATATTGACATGAGGGCACCACGTAAGTGGTGTGCCGTGGTACTAATGACAGGTAAGCAAGAATGTCACAGGCTTTACTGAGTTTACAGTACCTTGAAATGTCTGCTTGTGATAATGTTTTCTCATAAGAAGGGTGTAATTCCTTGCAGTCAGTGGATACATACAAAATTCATACTATTCATACTGTAGAGCGTTTTCCTTAAAACATTATTGGAAAATACCAGGCATAAAGGGTCAGAAAAGTAATTGTCTATAAACTTCTGTATTTACCATGCATCTGTCCTGTACTGTATGTGTACATTCATCCAACAAGAGGTAAATATAGTGTGTTTATTTATGGGCGTTACCGTGAAATAAAATTACTATACTCATATTGTGATATACTGTACGATTTTGGTCATATTGCCCACCCCTAGGCCCATCAATATGCAAACATTATAACAAGGCATAGGCTTAATAAGAACACTGATATTTTAGTTTTACTTTGTTGTTGTAGTAAGAGTGTTTGGTTTCCAAATGTCTCATGAATTATGATGTTTTCTGTCGGCAGCTGATAATTTGCAGCACAGAACACACTCTGGTCTGCACAAACCAAGTTTATCCACGCTGCAAATCAAACAGTATTTATTCTAGTCTGGGTTGTATTTTTCCATACTTTGTGTAGTTTTACTCATGGTTTTCAAGCATGTCATGCAACCTGTCTGTGTTGGCATCTGGTTTCTACCTGGTGACAGATTCATATGTTTCAAAATATTGTAGATTTTGATTAGACTCGTGGCCTTTGACATCAGCAGCACAGAAATGGGAGGCCTATTTATTGTGCTATGCTAACTGTATAGACAATTCTATTTAGTTGCATTTTGTCTTTTACAGTTAGCAGTGTGTTATTCCTGCGGTCCACAAATTAAAAAAAGACCTACAGCCCATTTTGTGTTGTAATATTTTATTTGTACTTTTTCTATACAGGATAGAGATTACAATAAACGTTTATTCGCGATCTATACTGTACTTAGATGTTGCAGTACATATTTGTATGCGTTTTTTTGTTATTATTGTTTTTATTCGACAAAACTAGAATGACAGGAAAGTGGAGGGAGAGAAAGAGGGAATGAGACTGGGACATGAAACAGGCCACGTGATTTAGATGCTTAACTACATATTAATGGAGAATCCCAGAAAAATTCAATATCAATATCAGTCAGGAATAGTGGAATAAAAAGACTCGGAATCATTCTGGAGGAATTTTTTTTGTACATTTTGCATTCATGTTACTGTAGTGCTCTGTGGTAAGAGTGCAGGAGTGGAGCAGTGTGGTGGTGAAGATGTTCGGTGTGTTGAAGGGAGCTTGCGGCTGGTGTGTCATTGCATCTCTCAGAGGCAGTGATGAGTCTTCGCTTCCTGCTGCTTTCTGCAAGGTTGCTGATATCAGCAGGTCACCACACACAAACAATGGAAATACAGCATTGTTTTCTACATTTTTTGGCATGTATCTTTTATTTTTTTAATTTAAAATTTTGGTTTATTATGGAAGTCTCGTGAAATCACACAAATTCATGTTAGCTGAGGTCCATTGACAGATACAATTTTTAATTTTAATAGTGTAAACTTACACAACATTTATGTTGAAATTAACATTAAGATTAATACATTTTAGAAATGTTTTTCCTTGTTAGTTCACGTTAACAAATTAAGTCAACTAATGTTAGCAAACACAACCTTATTGTAAAGTGTTACTAATGATTCTTATGAGCTAGTTCTTTTTAATGAAATAGATAGAAAGTCTTACCAATCAGTCTTGAGTGCATTATATATCATTTAATTAATACATTCCTTGTGATTCCCTCTAAGGGTGACTTTGGGGATTAGAATTATTTATAATTGTATTTTATTATTTATATATATATATATATATATATAGGATCCCTACATTACATTCAGAAACATTTTATTACTTAATGCATTGCATGGTAAAAGTTAAATAAATGTGCTGAACAAAGCGAAACGACCCAAACAAACACAAGACAAAATTTGGACCCAAATTTAATTTGACAGTATGTAGTTAGATGTTATCTCACCCCTGCAACAGATTAGATCTGAAAAAGTTGTTCAGTCTTATGACGGCATTTTATCCGAATGTTTGGGACAAGGCATGCTACCAAGTGGTGTGGTGTTGTTTTATATCAGCCCTGCCCAAGTGTGTGTGTGATTGACCTCTCCACAGAGGCCATTTTTGAGGCTACTCCAGGTCAACACTAATGTGATCCGACAGGCCATCTACAGAGTGCTTAACTCAATGAAGAATGCTGCATTGTCATGCAAGAAACGCTCATCGAAGACACTTCCTCCCCCAGCTGGATGTCATTTAATCATCCCAGTGAATCCCCTTCTCAAACGGCCTTTCACTAAACAAGTCAATGAAACAGCTTCACATGATATACATTCAGCAGTCTGCCAGACATACAGAATGTCGAGACGCACATTTTGACAAAGTTTTCAAATGCATCTTTTCATTCTTGATTTATGAAGGAAGCAAGACATTAAAGGGGTGATATGATGTTGCTAAAAAGAACATTATTTGGTGTATTTGGTGTAATGCAATGTGTTTATGCGGTTTAAGGTACAAAAAACACATTATTTTCACATACTGTACATACTGTACTCTCCTCTATGCCCCGCCTTTCTGAAACGCGTCGATTTTTACAAAGCTCATCGGTCTGAAAAGCGAGGTGTGCTCTGATTGGCCAGCTATCCAGTGCATTGTGATTGGCCGAATACCTCAAGCGTGTGACAGAAATGT